TCGTGGCATCCAGCTGAAGCTGCCTGGAGTGCATTGCCGTAGTCTCCTCCCTGCGCGTTGACATCGGCGCCTTTGTCGAGCAGCGTCTGGACCACTTGCTCGTGACCTCTGTATGAAGCTGTCTGGAGAGCGTTGCCGTAGTCTCCCCCCTGCGCGTTGACGTCGGCGTCTTTGTCGAGCAGCATCTTGACCACCTGCTCGTGGCATCCAGCTGAAGCCGCCTGGAGTGCGTTGCCAAATTTTCCACCCTGCGCGTTGACGTCGGCGTCTTTGTCGAGCAGCGTCTTGACTACCTGCTCGTGGCCTCCAGCTGAAGCTGCGTAGAGTGCGTTGGCGTGGCGTCCACCCTGCGCGTTGACGTCGGCGTCCTTGTCGAGCAGCGTCTTGACCACCTGCTCGTGGCCTCCAGCTGAAGCCGCCTGGAGTGCGTTGCCAAACTTTCCACCCTGTGCGTTGACGTCGGCGTCTTTGTCGAGCAGCAGCTTGACCACCTGCTCGTAGCATCCAGCTGAAGCTGCCTGGAGTGCGTTGCCGTAGCGTCCACCCTGCGCGTTGACGTCGGCTTCTTTGTCAAGCAGCGTCTTGACTACCTGCTCGTGGCCTCTGTATGAAGCTGTCTGGAGAGCGTTGCCGTAGCGTCCTCCCTGCGCGTTGACGTCGGCGCCTTTATCAAGCAGCATCTTGACCACCTGCTCGTGGCCTCCAACTGAAGCTGCGTAGAGTGCATTGTTGTAGCCTCCACCCTGCGCGTTGACGTCGGCGCCTTTGTCGAGCAGCGTCTGGACCACTTGCTCGTGACCTCTGTATGAAGCTGTTTGGAGTGGGTTACCGTAGCACCCACCCAGCGCGTTGACGTCGGTGCCCTTGTCGAGCAGCATCTTGACCACCTGCTCGTGACCTCCAGCTGAAGCTGCGTAGAGTGCGTTGCCGAACTTTCCACCTTGCGCGTTGACGTCGGCGTCTTTGTCGAGCAGCGTCTTGACCACTTGCTCGTGACCTCTGTATGAAGCTGTCTGGAGTGCATTGCCATAGCGTCCACCCTGCGCGTTGACGTCGGCGCCTTTATCCAGCAGCATCTTGACTACCTGCTCGTGGCCTCCAGCTGAAGCCGCCTGGAGTGCGTTGCCAAACTTTCCACCCTGCGCGTTGACCTCGGCGTCTTTGTCGAGCAGCATCTTGACCACTTGCTCGTGGCCTCCAGCTGAAGCCGCCTGGAGTGCGTTGCCGTAGCGTCCACCCTGCGCGTTGACGTCGGCGCCTTTATCAAGCAGCGTCTTGACCACCTGCTTGTGGCATCCAGCTGAAGCTGCCTGGAGTGCATTGCCGTAGTCTCCTCCCTGCGCGTTGACGTCGGCGTCTCTGTCGAGCAGCGTCTTGACCACTTGCTCGTGACCTCTGTATGAAGCTGTCTGGAGTGCATTGCCATAGCGTACACCCGGCGCGTTGACGTCGGAGTCTTTATCAAGCAGCATCATGACTACCTGCTCGTGGCCTTCAGCTGAAGCTGCCTGGAGTGCGTTGCCGTAGCCTCCCCCCTGCGCGTTGACGTCGGCGTCTTTGTCGAGCAGCATCTTGACCACCTGCTCGTGGCCTCCAACTGAAGCTGCGTAGAGTGCATTGTTGTAGCCTCCACCCTGCGCGTTGACGTCGGTGTCTTTGTCGAGCAGCGTCTTGACCACTTGCTCGTGGCCTCCAGCTGAAGCTGTCTGGAGTGCGTTGCCGTAGTCTCCACCCTGCGCGTTGACGTCGGCGCCTTTCTCGAGCAGCGTCTTGACCACCTGCTCGTGACCTCCTGCTGAAGCTGCGTAGAGTGCGTTGCCTTGGCGTCCGCCCTGCGCGTTGATGTCGGCGCCTTTATCAAGCAGCATCATGACTACCTGCTCGTGGCCTCCAGCTGAAGCTGCGTAGAGTGCGTTGCCAAACTTTCCACCTTGCGCGTTGACGTCGGCGTCTTTGTCGAGCAGCGTCTTGACTACCTGCTCGTGACCTCCAGCTGAAGCTGCCTGGAGTGCGTTGCC